GAAGGAAGGAAGGAAGGAAGGAAGGAAGGAAGGAAGGAAGGAAGGAAGGAAAAGAAAAATCAACACAGATGCAATTCTTAAAACTACTTTTAATCTATTGTTGGTTGAATCATGGGTGCAGCATCTGTAGGTGGGGTGATTGACTCTACTGTATGTAGTTCAGAAGAATGCCCAAGCTGCAGTCTTTATTATTTATCAAAATAAAAAAAAAAAACTTTGAAGCCACTAGATGGCAATGATGAAGAAAGAAGCCACCGTTTTGGAAACAATCTTTTTAGAAACATAAGAAAAGCCTCTGTGGGGTTGGAGAGACGGCTCAGCAGTTAAGAGTGAACACTGGCTATGCTTGCAGAAGACCTAAGTCCAGTTCCCAGCATTCATATGATGGCTCACAAACATCTGTAACTACAGCTCCAGAGGACCTAACGCCCTCTTCTGGCCTCTGTATGCACTGCACACACATGGTGCACAGACATACATGCAGGCAAACACTCAAACATGTAAAATAAAACTAATTCTTTTTCTTTGTTTGTTTTGACTTTGATTTTTCTTTTTTAGTTGATTTTACTGAGCTCTACATTTTCCTCTTGATTTTAGTTTTTCACACACACAGGGTTTCTCTGTGTAGCCCTAATTGTCCTGGAACTCATTCTGTAGGCCAGGCTGGCCTCGAACTCACAAAGATCTTGTCTGACACTGCCTCCTGGGTGCTGTTAAAGGTGTGTGACACTATTGCCAAGCTATAAGATTAATTTTTAAAAAAAGCCATTGATTGGAAGTACTATTCAGAAGCATTAAGACTGAGATTCTTAGAAAAATACCAAAAAATTTATTTGGAAGTAATCATCTCTTTTTAAAAAATATTTGTTTATTTTTTTATTTTTATTTTATGTATGTGTACTTACATGTATATGTATGTGTATATACACACACACACACACACACACACACATACACACACATATACACACAGCACATGTGTGGGGAAGTGACCGAGGGTATTGGTCTCTGGGACTGGAGGTACAGACGGTGGTAAGTCACCTGATGAGGGTGCTGATACTGAACCCTAGTTCTTCTCTGCAAGAGCAGCAGGGTTAACTGCTGAGCCATCTCTCCAGTCCCAAGCAACTATTTCTTATAATATATATTAAACTGAAGCTTTCCTTTCCTCAAAAGGAACTTGAGCACTTCAAGTACAAAATGAAGATGCTTCATAACACAGTACAAAGTAGTTGGTGTGTGTTGGGAGGGAGTGTTTAAAATAATCCTATAAAAAAACAACAACAATAAATACTAAAGTAACCACTGAAATAATAACAGAATGAAGAGGAACAGATTCATCTGGGTTTCTCCTTGTTCCCTCCTTCAAGTCCCTGCTCCCACGGGTCCCAAGTATAATTACCCACGCCACCGCAGACTCACAGATCAGTGCCTTGGAACTGGGCACTGATCACACACCTTATGTCTACAGACTTTAAATCAAGGCCCGGTAAGTGACACACTTGGAGACTATTTGCAGGCAGGACAAGGAATTATGGGAAATTTGGAGGCAGGTAAACCTGAGTTTGGAACCAACTTTACCTTTTACCTTTGGCAAACTTATGTTTGCATTTCAATCCCAGAACTTAATGCCTGCAGTACATTAAGAATGCTAGTTCGGTTCTCTCCACCTCAGCATATTCACCTATAGGTTAATATAAACAAGTGTTAATCTCTTGATGTTGTCATGGGGAAGGATGCACTATATGATAAATACCTGACACAGTATTGCCACGTAATAAACCCTCTTTTATTGCTGCTGAGAGACCAGCTCAGACGTTTCTGGTGCCGCCTCATGAGGGCACAAGGATGCCAAGGTAA